TCCTTTTCCTTTGAATTTCTATAATACAAAGCTTCCTATTGAATTTTGAAGGCGTAAAGATGAAAATCTTACCTTCAATTCGAAGTTTTTGAGGTCTAACAATTGCTTCTAAATGACAGACACCTTTTCCTCTCGTCAAGACTTCCTCTATCGAATCTTGGGCAACAACAGAGAGTGTGAGCGGTGGAAAACCCTTTAGGGCATCAGCATAGCTTTGGGATGCATAGGTGAAGACCTTTGCTGCTAGGGAGATGGGACGAGTCTCAGTTCTCGCTGGATTTTTTGAGGTGGAAGCTATATATCCATTGATAGGATTAGTGAATATCGGAGGAGATGAAGAGGGATGAGAGTATGAAACGACATTTCCTAGGCCTAAGGAGACTGCCGGAAAAGGAGTTCCGATCTGGATTGCCGGCTGAAGAAAGCTCTCGCCTCTCTCTACAAATCTTGCCATTTCCTCTATATATATATATATATATATATATATATATATATATATATATATATATATATATATTCAAACAAGTAAAAATTGCCACATTTAAATTTTTTTTTTTTACTTTTAATAAAACATATGTGGTGCATTAGAAACACTTACAAATGTGGCAAACGAAAAGATTAACAACACTTATAAGTGTGCTTAATGTAGTAATTTGCCACACTTATTTTACGTGTGGTAAAATTTTCCCCACATTGCTTGCCGCCACACTTAGCACATGTGTGGCGAACACTCTTTCCCGCCCTTATATGTGTTGCGAACAGAAATTTTAAGTGTGGCAAAAGCCACATTTTCTTGTAGTGTTTGGGTATAAATAGGGGTCTTTTGGGTCTACTTTTGACAACCATTCCTCACACATTTCATAGCTTTGCACTGCATCATTCCATAAACTTTTTACATAGCTTTTTAGTGCCATCTTTTGAGGAATTGAGTGTGTTCTTGATCTAAATTAGTTTACTCATCATATTCTACTCTTTAAGAGAGTTTTTGTTCTTGAGTGGTTAAGTGTTGTGAACACTTTAAGGGAGGTTTGTTCCCTAGGTTGTACGAAGGAAGGGCATATTCCTTCGGTTTGAAGTCTTGGAGTGTGGTATCTCCGAGCAAGTGTATTGAGGCTCGTGGGACTCGAGTTCTCACGTTGTAATGGTTTGTTAAGCACCCGTAATCTTTACGGAAGTAGTGTAGCTCGAGAGAGTCTCTCGGGAGGCTAGACTAGCCACACGTTGTGGTGAACCAGGGTAAAATCAGTGTGTTCTTTCCTTACGCTTTTTTATTCCGCTCTTTACTTTATCCCTACGATTTTTATTCCGCAAAAATTTATAAACATTCTCGTGCCTCACTATTCCCCCCCTCTAGTGAAGGGCACTTATTCTAACAATGCCTTGGTTAGCATATCTGCACAATTGTCATCAGTTTGCACCTTTGCTAACTCACTACATGAAAACGCCAAAACAACGATGGATTACAGCGACGGAATTTAGTTCGACGCTAACAGCGACGGAAGAGTACGCCAACCAAAACTAACGACGGAAAGAAAGGTCCGTCACTATGTATTGGCGGGAGGTTGTGCGCGGTAATTTTGACAACAGAATTACCGACGGAAATTTGCGTCGTTAGTTTCAGCGACGGAAGATTTCCGTCGCTAAGGGAATTTTATTGAAACGCTGCGTTTTGTCTTCGCGACGGATTGTTTCCGTCGCTACCTTCCGTCGCTCCAAAGTAGATCTATACCCTCTTCCTTGGACAGTTTCACCGATTTGCAGACAGAAAGAAAAGGGTCCACCGCCGAGAGTCTCAGCTCTGCTGTCCAAATCATCCTCGAATCTCCTCTGCCGCGCCGTCCACTCGTCGTCTCCGCCCGCCACCATCAACCGCCGGTCCTCCTTTCCGTCCGGTCATCATCAGGTCTTCATCCCAGGTTTTTTTTTTCAATTTTTCAACTCTTATTCAAATTCTATTTGTGAATTATTTTTTTTATTATAATTGTATTGTTTACATTAGGGTTTTTAAAATATCAAATTTTGTTTAAAATTACAAATTTAGTTTTAATTTTACAATTATTTTAGGTTAGGGTTTGTTATTCAAAATTTAGTCATTTGTTTTAACAAATTTATGTATATTCCTTAAACTTTTAGTGAGTCAATATTGTGCTTACTAATTGCTTAATATGTTATTTTTTATATTGTAAGTTTTATAGGAGGAATGAATTTATGCTTATTAATTGTTATATTTTACATATTGTTAATGTTACATGAGGATTGATTGTGTATGTATTGTGTATGTTACGTTGTTGAATATTGTAGTTGTTCCGATCCATTTATATTATATTTTTTATATTATATTTTTATGTTTGTTTGTAATGAATTCTATAACTTAATAGTATGTTAATTTTATTTATTTGTTTGCATTTCTCAGAATGAGTGACTTTCACGAAAATCGAGATTGGATGTATAAAAGACTTGATAGCTCAGGTTTTATAAATACAGACTGGGTTGACAAAGTAAGACAATTCATTGAGTTTTGTGAGTCAAATCCAAAAGTAGACAGATTAAACGGGCAGATGCGTTGTCCTTGTAAGATTTGTAAGATAAAATATTTTAAAGATATCGAGGACATTAAGCTTCATGTACTGAGACAAGGTTTCACTCCTAAATATTTTGATTGGGTTTGCCACGGGGAGGAACATGGTGACTATACGAGCATCATCGGCGCCGTAAATCTGCTCGTACCTTTGTTGAAACCGAAAGGGCAGAATACATGAATATGGTGATTGGTGCTGCGGGGCCTTCCTTTAATCCTAACGTTCCAGTTCAAGAGGAACCAAATGCTAGTGACAAAAATTTTTTTGACATGCTAAAAGCCGCTGATACTGACTTATGGAAAGGTTGCACTAAAATGTCCCAACTCTCGATGATAGTGAGAACGATGAAAGTGATGATGTTGAGATATTATTTACTACTGATGAGAGCTCTAGCGAATATGTGTTCATGTCTGATGATGAATTATCATAAAATAGACTTTAATACAAAAGGTGGTTGAACACATATATTGTTGTATTCATATTATTAACTGTTTTACTAATCCTTAATTACTCTTCTTTGCAGATGGCTGGTGGAGATAAGGGTAAGGGTCACGCAAAGCAAACAAAGTCCAATACTGGGAAGTGGAAAGAGCTTTCTAGGTTGCGACATGCCATCCTTGGTGGTGGTAGATCAAGCGACACATCGGCCAGCACATCTGCGAGTGCATCAGGTGTTAGAATAAGTGACCAACGCTAGAGGGGGGCTGAATAGCGTTTGATCATAGAAATCGCAGGAATAAAAAATTAAGAATGTGAAAAGTAAAGAGAGTAGAAAGCGTAAAGGGAGCACACCAAGATTTTTACTGGTTCACCACAACGTGTGGCTAATCCAGTCTCTCGAGAGACTCTCTCGAGCTACACTACTTCCGTTAAGCTTAC